TATGCTTTTTTTTTTTGGGGGTGGGGGGATTAATAGGAAAATTAAAAAAAAAAAAGGTAGAAAGAAGGAAACTATTCAAAAAAAGAACAAAACCAGGGGAAATGAGGAGTGGGTATGAGATCTAGCTACCACCGCACGGGTGAGTCTACGTTGGCACGTAAAGTATTGCACATCCTACAAAAGCCAAAGCATGGAAAGGGACAATTGTTTGGAAAGGACCAGTTATTTCAGAATTCTTCAGTCTGAAACACAAGCACAGAACTAATACATTCCTATTGCTCCAAACGCATTTTTTTTTATTATTATTATTATTTTTTTTTTTTTTTAGTGTTAGTTGAATAGATCCAGTCAGTTTAATAGCCCCTGCTTCCTTCTCATCCACAAACGTGCACGCGTACGGTTTTACTTGCAATTTTGCTTCTTCCCGAGTACGCGTGAAGTACGGAAATAGTGGTACGACTGTCAACTAAAATCTGCAATTCCTTCTTACTCCTTTACCATCAAAGCTCAAAAACAAAACAGGAAACAAAACGAAACAATAAATTGCAAGTGCCCTGAGCAGAGTATATGGAAGATTAAGCAACTTCTCTGAGCAGAAATATTAACAAATAAGCACTAACTAAGCAGTGTGACTGTGAGAAGAAACCCACTCAGCTATTTGGTAGCCCGCCGAGAGGTTAATAAAATTCAAGGAAATTCAAGAAAAGTTTCAAGCTATTTTAAACGTATTTCAACTTTTTGGTGCACCCCAGAATATGGTATAAAAACAATTAGTTCTGGTGTGAGCTAAATTTCAAGTAACAAATAAACAGAGTCAAAGCTGGGGTTTGGGGTTAACATTTCTTCTCTTAAATAAAAGCACTGGGGAGAGGGAAACCAAGATTTTAAATACATTTGTTCACCTTCGGTTACTGCGTTTCTAATCACGGACTTTTCTTTCCTTTTCTCCCTAGCAGTGCAGCTTCGTCCAAACTACCTGCAGGACGCAACCTCGCCGACCCAGCACGCCGCCGCCAGCGCTCGAGG